AATGGAATGTGTATTATTCTAAACTGGAATATGATCATCATGGCAAGAGTAGTCACATTAAAGCTAAATGTTTAAAATAGTAGGATATCAACCCAGTTGTGAAACAAGAAGAACTCAACAACGTGTAACTTACAAACATGAAAGATTACATCTTGCATATATAACTCAAGGAGAAGAAACAAAGAAAGAGATCCTTGAGAGACCTGCCATAGGTCATACCTTGCATGAAACACACACAAGAAATCATAATGGATTACATGAAAGCATGTTTGGTAATCATGGTAATAAAATCCAATGGATTATTGATAGTGGTGCATCTCATTATATGATTGCACCATCTCATATTTTAAAAGGAGTTAGAAAGATAGACAAGCTTTTTCATGTTGTTACAACCATTGAAGATGCAACTGTGGTTGAAAAAATGGGAGATGTAGAATTATCCATGAACATCATATTGCATAATATTTTATCGGTTCCAAGATTTTAATTTATATTCAGAAGTCCACTCATGATTTAAACTGCATCATAACTTATGATCAAAAATCTTGTATAATACAATACCAAGTATTGAAGAAGAAAATTTGATTCAGTGATATGCATGAAGGAGTTTATAAGCCCCCAAGACCACATTAACTTGTTACTGCAGTATAGAAAAATTTGGCAGCTTTGTGGCATAAAAGAATGGGACATCCTTCAACAAAAAACTTCTTAGCACATATAAAACTCTCTTAATTCTCTTAATTGTAGTTTTAATTCAAATAAAGTAGAATGTTGTTATGTTTGTCATAAATCAAAATATTGTAAAATTTCTTTCAATTTGAGTATTAATAAAGTTGAAGCACTTTGCGATTTAATCCATTGTAATTTATGAGAGAAATATAATACAACATCTCACCATGTTTTGCATTACTTTCTCACGATAATTGATGACTACACTCGAGGAACATGAATCTACCTTATGAAACACAAAACTAAAACATTATACAACATCATTAATTTCTACAACATGATCAAAAGTCATTTTAATGTGCATGTTAAAACAACTCACAGTGATAATGAGACAAAATTTACTAACAGTAATTTTTAAGCCTACATTCAACTAGAAGGAATCATTCATGAGACATCTAGTGTAGCTACTCCACAACAAAATGGACGTGTTGGGAGAAAACACATGCATATATCGAATGTTGCACGAGCATTATGTTTCCAATCTAACATTCTGTTACAATTTTGGGGAGAATGTGTACTCACTACATCACATCTCATTAATAGAACTTCCACTATAGACAATAAAGAAAAGACATCGTAATAGATGCTTTTCAAAAAAGAACCCAATTATGAGCACTTTAGATTCTTGTGTTAGTTGAAAAATCTATCCAAAAAATCTAACATATTTGGAGAAAGAGCAGAAAATGCATATTGTTGATTATCCTCGAGGAGAAAAAGGATGCAGAGTATATAATCAAGACACACACGGTTTTACCACATCAAAGGATGTTGTGCTTTATGAACATATATTTCCATATGACTTGAGACAATATGATACAACCAATAATATTAAGAATCAAACAAATCTACATACATATCAAAATCAAGTAGAAGAAAAATCAAATATTTGATCAAATAGAAAATGAAGATCCTTCAATAGAGAAAAATCAGCTAATTAATCCATACTCCTAATATTCAAGAAGAATCTAACGTTGTTTATGATGATGAAACCCCTTCAAATTTCAATGATAAAGAGATAAGCATTTATGAAACAAAAGATAATTCATCGAACCTTGAACCTATATAATTGAATAAGGAAAATGGGATAAGGAGTTTTGGATAGTGAAGAGGAAGTTGTAATTGAGGGGGAGTTACAATTACCTCCTAGAAATAGACAACATTTTGTTCATTTGAAGGATCATTACTGATATGCTATAAACCTCGAACGCACTTTATCAAAGACCAATTCTTCTTCAGGTATGACTTATCCTATTTCAAAAGTTTTAAATTATGATCAATTTTCTCCAAAACATCGAACATACTTTGCAACCATCACTAATAATGAAAATTCAAAATCATATTCACAGGCAGTAAAATACTCAGTATGGAAGGAGGCAATGACAAAAGAACTTAAATCCTTGGAAGATAATGAAACTTCAGAATTAACTCACTTACCTTTAGGGAAAAAGTTAGTAAGTTTTATATGGGTGTATAAGATTAAGTACAAGGCTACATAAGAGATTAAGAAATACAAACCTCGAGCAATAGTAAAAGGATTCACATAAGTAAAAGGTGAAGACTTCAATGAAATATTTGCACATGTAGCAAAAATTATTGCATTTAGATGTTTACTAACTATTGTTGGAGCGAAAGAATGGGAGCTTCATCAAATGGATGTTAGCAATACATTCTTACAAGAGATCAGTGAAGAAGTGTACATGAGTCCACCTCAAGAATACAAATTTCATAATATAAATACGGTTTTTCGCCTAAAAAACCTCTTTATGTTCTAAAACTAGCCTCTAGGAATTGATACTATAAACTTTTCATGTGCTTGCTCAATTATGGTTTTAAAGAAATCCAAATAGAATGTGAATCCAATTTTATTACAATCCTAATTTATGTTGATGATTTGTTTATAGATGGCAATAACTCATTCGCTTATAGCAAATTCAAACAATATATGAGTAATTGTTTTTATATGAAGGATCTAAGAGATTTGAAATATTTTCTTGGTTTAGAATTGGCTCGAGGATCGACAAGATTATTCTTTTGTCAAAGAAAATATACTTCGGACATTCTTAATGAATATGACATGCTTAGTTGCAGGCCATCTCTTTTTCCAATGGGAAAAAATCACAATCTGGGTCTAGCAACATAGGTCATTTTTCAAAACCATTAAGATATCAAAGATTACTGGGACGACTTATTTACCTCATTATTATGAGACTAGAGATAACTTACTCAATTCATATTCTAAGCCAATTTATACAAAGCCCTCTTCAAGATTATTGGGATGCAGTCATAGACTGATACTTGAAATCCTCTCTCAGGTCAAGGCATAATCCTACCAAAGGATAACAATTTAAAACTTGTAGGTTATTTTGACTCAGATTGGACGTCATGTCTTACTACTAAAAAACGTGTTTCGAATAATTGCTTAAACTTGGAAATGCACCCATATACTGGAAGACAAAGAAACAAGTTACACTTTCAAGATCCTTGATTGAGGGCAATGACTCATGGTACTGGTGAAATACTATGGCTACATAATTTTCTAGCAACTCTTTAAACTTCTTGCACCACTGCTACGCTTCTACATCGTAATAATCGTGCAACTTTACATTTAGCTGCACATCTAATTTTTCATTAGAGAACCAAACATATAGAAATTGACTGCCATTTCATTCGAGAACATGTAAAATTTGACGTTATTGTTAAATGTGTAATTCATTGTTTTAGAAAGGTTAAATTTGATTTAGAAAGATCAGATTTGATTTAAAAAGATTAGATTAGATATTTTTGGGCTTTTATAGTTTGGGTTTTGACTTGGGGTGCAAGCTAACATAAATCTATAACTAGGGAGAAACCCTTATTTTGTAAACATCTCATCTCATCATATTTTGTAATTCACAGTTTGCAATTGCAAGTGAAATAACAGAATTTCCACAGTTTGTGGGCAGAGAGTTTTCTGCAGAAAATTATTCATCTTCTTCTTCTCCAACGTTTACTTTCTTTCTTTCTTTCTAAATTTTTCTTTCATTGTCATTACGTAACTTGAAATAATCTTGAGATCAAGATTGATTGAGTGAAATTTTCCATAAATTATAGTTGAATTTCTAAGAGTTATCTCTACAAGTTACTTGTCAGCCAAACAACAACTCACAAACATATTCACAAAATCTTTAGAGATAAAGAATTTCCATAATATTATAGCCAAGTTAAATTTTCATAATCATCACCCTTGAGGGGGAGTATTAGAGAATAACTTTAAAATAGAATTAGTTAGTTAACAATTTATTATTATTATTATTTATTATTAAATAAAGTTAATTATAAAATTAGAGTTATCTCATAGAATTTATTAAGTATAAAACTTTATTAGAAATAGTTTATTATCTTTTCAATCTATATAAAAATTTGCATTTATTATATTTGAATTATCCTTAAAAATATTTTATTTACTTGAAGTACCCATAGTTAACATTGGTTTAATTTATCTGAGGCATCTCCACGTGTAAATTAATAATAATATCTTTAATTATCTATCTATGATTAAACTCTAAATTACAAAATCGTTTTCCACTAGAATTGAAGCTTAAGACAAATAAAAACTTTTACTAAAAGAGTAAAAAGAATAGTTTACGTAGGGCAGGCTTGTTGAAATCTGAGGCATCCCAACCCATTCTATGGTAAGAAAATGGTTGTTTTACTTACCTACCAAAAATTAATGACATTAATGTGTTTGTTTGCACGGGGAGGTGCATCTGTGCTTTTGTGGGGTTCTCTCCACCGCCGGTCACTAACTTTTATGCCTCCGATCAATCATACACGATGTGGATCCCATTCAATCCTTCTTGTCTCAAATTAATCCAAATTCTGTCTTGTTTACTACAACTAGTGTCTCAGACACAGAATCTTCACTGTGCTTCCCCTACTGGATTCACCACGGCTGTTGCATGGTTCAGACACTCTACTGTCTCTTGCATCGTCTAAAGTTCCGTGTAGGTTAACCGCATTTTCACTGTGACAAAATAAATATAGATTTTTTTAAACCATAGTAAACCGTGACAATATTTAAAATAAAAAAAAATTAAGATCTGCAAAATTGTGTTAGTGTCTAAGACAGATCAAGATCTGCAAATTAGATATTTTTTTATTGAAGTAATATTGATTAGCAATTTGGAAGAGTTACAATATTTCATGAAGTTCAGATCCAAATCAAGCAGAACTAGACTAATAGAAACATAACAACGTTACAAATAGCAGAACAACAAGAAAAAGAACAACAATCAATAAGGACTCTCTCCAGCATAATTCCCAGGTGGAGAATAGAAACAAACACTCAAACTAGTTCCACTCCCATCTTTACCACACATAGCTTGAGCGCACCCAAGTTGAAGCGACTTCCTCCAAACAACTTGAGTATAAACCCCACACCTATGATTCGGAGCACACGAGTTATCACTATGGTTATAGAACTGCTTCTCTTTTACCCACTTTTCAACCACCATGCGTGGCGTCACCGTCGCGCCAAGTGACATGAGCTGATTCGCGCCGTATTTTCCGGCTGTTAAGTTGGCAAACTGACATGCCATTTTGTCTCGTTGATAGCGGACGAGCTTGTTGGTAATGTTGGATAGCTGCTCGCTCCATGTAAGGGGTTCTACGCCGACGGATGATCTTGCTTGGTTGTGAGTTTCCAGAAACTCCCTCGCCGTGGCTGGTAGCGGCGGTGGGGTAGCCGCTGAGTTGGTTGACACGTGGAGGGTGGTAAGAGTTGTCAGCAAAAATATCAACTGACAGTATTGAACCATTTTCACAGTTTAATTAGTTTTGTCATATGTGTGTGACGAAGGTCCCATTATTTATAGAGAAGAGATTAAATTAGGTAAAAGAAATAAACATAAAAAAATATTTTAGAGAAAACTATCAATCTGCTCCGTATAGGAATTGTGCAAGTCAATTAATCTAATAATCTAATAGGCCAATCAAATATTGGCCTCTAATAATTGATTATTCAAATCATAAATGAAAGGATTTAATATTTATTTCATTTATTTTAAAATAATTGTCGTTTTAAAATATAAAAGACAAATTCTTTGCTATCCAAATAGGATATTGGATACTTTTAATTTAAAATTTTTTAAAATTTTAATTTACTTAAAAATAAAAAAGTGTCATGACATTGAATTATCACATTTTATTACTTTAGGGTACTGATATCCAATTAAATTTAATGGTATATGAGTGTTCACCAAAATAAAATTTGTTTTAAAATAACTGTCATTTTTACTTTTTAATGTAGTAATGATTATAAATTTGTCGAGGGTGGCGCTCTGCTCCGAGCTCTTGTCGATCAGCTCCTCGAATTTCCTCACCAACCCGACTGAGAGTTTGCTAGGGCACCCGCTGGATATGACCAATGCGGCTGGGAAGTTCTCCCATGGACTGCGGGCGGACAGCGGTGTGTCAGGCTCTCCAGGAAGGAGAAAGTCTTCTGGGTAGGAGACACATAGGGTGAATTGCAGTCCGGCTTCTTCAGAGGGTGGTGACACTTCATCGACCCTCTTGCCTTTGCGGGTCTCCTGTCGAGGAGCCTCGCTTCTCTAGGTGTATTGTTTCAGGTGCCCCTCCTTGATTAGGATCTCGATTGCATCCTTGAGGTGGATACAATATTCCGTGACGTGTCAACTGACTCTGGTAGAATTGGCAGTATTTGGATTTGTCGATGTTGGGCTTAGGTGGGTGTCGGTTCCGGAAAATAGACACCACCTCTCTAAAATTCCGAGTTAATACACTCGAATAGGATGCGCTTGCGGGGAGTTGTGAGTAGCGTGTACTCAATGAACCGGTCTGCTGGCCCCCTCTGTTCTCGGGGTCGGTCCTCTCTTCTTTTTTCCCCACCTCTTTGAGGAGCAACGGTAGCCTCGTGCCTAGTGCCTCTGGCGCCTTCTTGATTCCACATGTCGCGGGCGCATTGGTAGGCCCTTATCCTCATAATGGATGTATGATTGGACTTCGAGGAGGAGGGCGTTTAAGGTTTGGGGTCTTTCAATCCAGACGACCTTGGCGAAGTCGGTGCAAGGTCACAGTCCTCGCTCGATCAGAAATTTCTTCATGTCGTTCGAGATGGATACCTGGACAGCTTCTCGGTTGAACCTCTCTAGGTAATCCCGAAGAGGTTCGTCTTTTCCCTGGATGATGGCTTCCAGGGTTGCTTCCATCTTCGGAGGGCGCCAAGAAGCTGTGAAATTCCTGGATAACTGCCTCTTCAGTTCTCCCCAAGAGGTGATGGATTCGGACGCGAGGTGCTTGTACCACATCATAGCACCCTTCCTTAGGGTAGTGAGGAAAAGCGTGCACTTGATGGCTCCTTGGATGTTCCGATAGTCGAGCATCGCATCGATGCTTTTGATATGGTCGTCCGGGTCGGTCGTACCATCGTAAGTCGCGAAGGACGGGGGGTTTTTCCATCCCGACGGGCAATGGAGTCTCCCAGATGGCCCTGGACAGTGATGAGCGTTGGTCATCCTCGTTGCTCCTCACATGTGATCCAGAAGGGGAGAGGTTACCCTAATCATTTCTGCTTCGTCGAGAAGGACTCATCTGTTGGCTCTTTGGCTTCTTGATGCCTCCTTCAGCTTTGTTCCTCTTCTGAGTGGGGGAGCATCACTCCTTTCGGGGAGGGGATCAGTCACGCTTTTGGGTGGCCAATGAATGCCTGAGACCGCTCCAAACGAGGGCGACGTCCAATATGTCGGGGAGAAGGACTTCGAGAGTCGTCGTGTCGCGTCCTCCGCAGGGGAGGAGATGGACTGTTGGGGAGACGATGTCTCCGGGCGAGGGCGGTGAGGGGGGAGGGGGGAGAGCGTGATTGTCACTCCTTCTCGAGCATCCCTATCCGCTCATTCTGTTGGAAGATCATCGGATTGGTCTGGTTGATCACTGCGAGTAGAGCTACCATGGTCGGGTCGACGCTGAGTGGTACAGTGATTGGCTGGTAGACAGTCAGGGTATCAAAGCGTCGGGCGAAGTTGAAGGTCCCGTCTTTCAAGGAGGGAGAGGCGATGTGTCCATCCATGGAGACACCCTCTTCGACGTGAATGCACATTAGGGTCGTGACCGTCACCGTTGGTGAATGGAGCGAAGACGGTTTCTGGAGCGTTGTCATTGCGTGGGCTGACCATGATCAAACGGAAGTTGAATGTTGCTTTGGTTCTTGAGCTTTTATGCTTATATAGGAGAAAGAATGGGGGTGCAAAGGGTTCCCACAGATGGAACCATTGATCTTACCTAATAAGAAATGGATTTGCAGTCTGCCACACGTCGTGAGCTCCTGTGTTCACCGGTGTTGAAGATGATGAGGGGGTGTACTTACAAGGTACTCCGATGTCTAAATGAGTAATGTAGTTAGAAAGAGCAAGTACAGGGAAAATAGGTGTAGAGTTGAGAATACCTGACCCTCTAGTGAAAGAGGGTATTTATAATGTCCTCCCAGCGCAAGGCCAACAGTTACTTTGCATTGGGTCGGATTGCAAGACCCAATACGAGTAACTGTCAAGGCTTACGTGGCGTAGGAAAGACCAGCACGTGGTCTTCGCCCTAGATCAACTGCCCCGTGATCTTCGGAAGATGGGCTGACCAATTCTTTCGGAAGTGGGTAGTTTCCTGATGACGTGTCCTAGTGCGGGGGGCATGTGGAGTCCGTGGGAAAGGCACATGAGCTCTCTCTGTGCTAGGCAGTTGCATGCCCGACTACAGAGAACACTGAGTGTGCCCCACAAAGGGGAGGGTTGGGCATTGTTGATATTGGGTTGGGTCTGCCCGACCATAGGACAGATACTGACCCAGTCCAGAATAATAAGGATTTGTCATGTAAAGTTTTTCTTTAACACATACTAGCGTCCAAACGTGCCCGTTTGTCCGCTTTTTTAAATTGACAGACGTATTAAAATATAAACAAATATATTTTTAATTTAATTTTGTTTTTTATATAAACTATTTTTAATATAAACTTTGTGATATATTTCCTTCATGTGTATTTATATGCTTTTTTAAAAGCGTACACGCAACAAATTATAAAATATCTTTTTTTTTTCTTAATTTTTGTTTTAAATTAAATAAGTTAACAACTTAAATTGAGAAATAAGCTGTTATTATTTAATGAATATATTTGGTAATTTTAAAATAAGGGTTAAAGGACATAATAGATAAAAAAAAAAAGTAGGTTACACCAAACCATGATTTTCTCTTTATATATTGTTATAGATAACAATAAACAAATTATAGTAAAAATGTAAACCTGCATATTGAGTATGGTTTTAGTTTATTGGAGACAAATATTAATTTTAAGTAAATTAACTATCTGAAATGGTAAATTTAAATGCACATTTAAATTTAAAATTTATAAATTTAAATTTTAAAGATTATAAATTCTTAAGATAAACTTAATTTAATATTAAAAAACCTCAACATATCAAATATTAATTTCACTCTTCTAAAATTACTTTTTATTTTTTCAATATTAAAATTTGTTAAAGAAATATGGTTAATTTAATTCATCCTTATAAAATCTGAGTTGGAACAAAAATTATCCCATCTATAAATATCCTTCCGCATGTTAAAAATAATTGATGGGTGATTCAATAATAAAAATTTGATAAGATTCGTCGGATCTTAAACGATACTTTAATACTATATTAAAAAATATAATTGAATTTAATTTATCCTTATAAAACTAATTTATAAGGTAAAAATTTATCTCATTTATAAACTTATGATTCTCTCTCTCTCTCTCTCTCTATCTATATATATATATATATATATATATATATATATATATATATATATATATATATATATATATATATATATATATATATATATATATTAACAAAAGCAAGTTACATTGACTTTTTCAACTTCAACACTTAAGCACAAGTTAACATTTTTTAAAGATTATTGATAACTTTCATTCACTTATTTAACATATATTAGTTTTGCAATTTAAAGATTCCTTTTTAACCATTTTTCTAAAAATATTCTTATTTAAAATAAAAATAAAAATTACTAATAAAATATTAATTTCTTTAGTTAAACTTAATTTTGGATTATTATTGTTAATTACTACTTCATTCGTCTCAAAAAATATTTTATTTGAATTATGCACAATTTAAAAAAAAAATTAAACATATTGATTTTAATGATAAATATAGTATTATTTACTAAAACACTCTATTAATTATAATTTATAAAGAGTTGAAAAATGTGATAGTTACTTTTTCTCGGTTCTTTTTTAAATGTTATTTTTTAATTTTATATCTATAAAATATAAAAAAGAAAATATTTTGTTTTGGTGTACTTTTTTTTTTTTACTATTTTTACTCTTGTTTTATTATGTAATTTATTTAACAACTTATTATTATTAACTTTCATATAACTTTTTATTATAAATTTTCACATATTATATTTTTAAAAAGTTTTATTTAAACAAAAAATATCGTTTATATTTTCATTCATACACATTAAAAAAACGGATAGACGGGCACACGAATGCCCTTCGCGTGCCCGTTTGGACGCTACTACCTATAAAAAATAATAATCAATATTACTTTCCAAACAATAATTTACAAACTAACACATATGTGATGTTTGTGACTCTGGTTGGTTGGGAGTAACCGTGAATCTACTTGTCCTACAACTATACATATAATTAAACCTAATTAAGAGATCTCATGCAATGTTTTAAGCCACAAATGTATTATTGTGTGAAGATTGGACAAATTAGGTTAAATATAGGTATGACAACGAACTG